AATTTTTCACAGATGTTGTAGTGGATTGTCTTTCGTTATCAATAATACTCCCTTCTCAACACATACACAAACTATTAGGATATGATCATAAATTCAAGAGATTTATCACTGTCTATAAGATAAATGGAGATGATAATAAGTTTGTGATATTTTATTTTTATTATATAGTTATCACCCTATAAATAGGAGATAGTCTCATGTAATTAAGTATATTTAATAATAAATTAATGTGACCCATAGGACGTTAAATCCGTGAATGTAGGCAATTTGACGAGTTGAACTTTCTGAGCAAGGTATGTAAGTTTATTATTGGAAGCTTCACGGATTTTCATTAAGAAGAACTTTCCTCGTTTGTTTTTCATGTGTGAAATGAAATGGAAAATGCAGAAACTCCCTAATGGTGAGAGTGAACAAGAAGAAGTCTACCGCTTCTAGAAGTTGAACTATATATGACTACGTCTTCATACTGTTTTGGTTGCTCTCAGAGTGGCCGGTGGGTTTCTTTCTTTTTTATTTTGAAGGACAAATTATATGGACAACCCTTGAAATTTTCTTAAATTACACCCCACTCCTTGTGGTTTTTAGAAATTACAAAGAGCACCCCAAGAGATATATTGTCATCTTCCTAGCAATAACCTCATGCCTTAAGAAACTATAGCACTAAAAATCAAACATTAATCTTATGATATTTATATTTTAAATAATAATTTACATTAGCATTAGAGACTTAAAACCAAACCTTATCCTCACCATGGTAGAGGGCTTGCTCAAGCATAAAACCAACAAAGCAATGCTTTTAGTAGGGATGACAATAGATCGGAGAAAAATAGGTATTCGTCCAAACTCATCTCGTTTGAATGGTGAACATGTACGGGAATATCCGTATAAACCCACATGAGGATGGAGGCAGGAATGGACTAATACTTAACCCTGCCCTATCCCTACCCGCCCATCCTTGCCCCAACTAACCCCTCAATATATATATATATATATAAGAATAAGATCATAAACCCCAATCCCATTCCCACCTACCCATAATTGCCCACTTTTTTTCTTTGTCCAATAAGGTAAGATCTATTACCTCTGTGTTCTTTTTGTTGGCTTTTGTTAGATGTATGATTCTTTTTGTTAGATTTGTGATGAATTTTGTTAGATCTAAAAGTCTGTATTGTGTTAACTATTCAAATTTTTGTTTCTAATTTATGGTATGTTAAATATGATATTTTTAAATGTTGCTTGTTCTG